GATACCACTTGTTAGCTCACAGGATCACCCGCTCAGGTGAGTCGACCACTCACCAGTCTTCCTGAGCACGGTCGACCACGACAAAGGTTGTCCGACCACACACTATGGCTAGAGGTAGAAGAAGTGAAGGAGAACAGAGCATACACACAGTAGAGACACTAGCGTTGACCAGAGCCCTGTATAGTAGATGGTAAATCTAAACTCTCTTTGTTGAGTTGCAGTGGCAAATTATATATACAACTCTACCAATCTAGTTCTAGTACAGCTGCCCTGCTGCAACAGTGACTATATAACACAGTAGGGCTGACTCTGGCGCCTGCTCCTGCTGCGGCTACAGTGCGACAGGTGAGCCGTTCGGCACCTGCCTCTACAGCGACTACAGTACCACAGCAGAAAGCATTTTCGGCGCCGTCTTTCCTTACTATGTGTTCACACAAAGAAACAGTAGATTATGTAACAGATACCAGTGATCTCGTCAGAATCCTTGAACTTCTCAGACTCACGCAGGTAGGTTTTCATGCACTCCAGCTCCACCTCGGCTTTGCGGATCTCGCCAAAGAGACCCTTGAGAGAAGCTTTCTTGCAAAGCAGGGATGTACTGTAGGCTGCTGCTTCTTTGGCCAAGGCTGCACCTAGCTTGCCAATCAGCACTCCCACAACAGCCTCTGCCATGGTGGTTTTGTACGCTTGAAGACCTCAGAGTTACATGTGGACCTCACCTCAACAACCTAAACCCCAAATTTCACAAAATTAACTCGAGTTACCTTTCAGCTCCACAATCTGAACCTTTTTTTTTTTGAAAAAGAAAACAAACAAATTCAAACCTTGCACTGATGAAACTTGACAGTGTTACCTGAATACGAGAAGCTATAGAACAAGCACGCATTGAAGTTGAAGATCAGGCTTTGTTTTAGTCACGGTTTGCATTGGGGAGTAGGAGGAGTTGCATCGTCAGAGATGGAAAGGGGCAAGTCATGCGGTTTCGTGGAAGGAGACGAGGAAAAAAAAAGTCTCTGCGCTTGTAGAGGAGAAAGCTACATAATCATTAATCAGTCAGTAATCTGATGCTGTCTGGTTAAAAGCACCAATCAGTGGTGGGCCATCACCTAACGCATCATCCACTAAGTGAGGGGTGTCTGTCACACAGCGTTAGACTGACTTGGTCATTAGAATTTAGACTTGTAGAGTACAGTGTAAGTGTAGAGCAGTCCACCAAACTGTGCAATGTTCTCGCAGGAACCCAGCAGATCATCATGAGATCTCCCCAAAGCACTCAGCACAAGGCCACAAGGCACCACTGAAGTGTGCCACCAAAGCAGAGCAAGCATTTCGTTAAAAAAAAGGCAGAGCAAACAAGGCATCAACGACCTGAAGAAAATGAAACAGACCATACATTTATGGAACTACTATAATAACATGTCACCACTGCCCAGAAAGCTGTATAAAATGAGTACCTTATTGAACATGTGCTAGGCACGTTAGGCAGAAAGGACATTTTCCTTCATTTATCAGATCAAACTGAAGGACTTGCAGGATACGAGACGACCAACTGCCCTGTCTCTGTGACACCAATATACCAGGTTCAGAGAAACCAAAGATACACACCATATACCACATTCAGAGAAACCAAAGATACAGCATGTTAATTTCCAGCGAAAATTAAAGGCTCTGGCACTTGGGATTACAGACCTGGGAGAGGACAAAAGGACCAAATATGCCACACCCCAACTCCCAATCACCATCGACGCCTCACGCATAAGCACCACGGCAAACACCTCTGGGTAAGGATGAAAACGGAACGGAAATAACCCGAACCGGACCGCATCGTTTTCTATATTTAATCCGATCGAATTCGTATTTTCTTGTCCGACTTTACCGTTTTCGCTTTCGCATTTCAGATGTTTCGTATTTCAAATGTAAAAGTAGAAAACGGTTTAGACATTTTCCGACAGTTTTCTACTTTTCTACTTTTAATTTGAAATATTCCGAATTGAAAATTCGGTTTAAACCGAATTTGGCCAACTGCACAGGTCATACATCACAATTACAGCTTGTTCACTACGCAGCTGCGTTCTTTCTACTGGTGGCCAGCTGCCCTCTCTTATAGACGGCGCCCAGCCTCATCTCTCTTCACCTCATGAGATGGTGCTAAATGTCAGGAAATCAGCAGCATCTATACGAAAGCCCACCTGGGCCAGAGCCCATCAAGCTCATCGGTTTAACCCCCACCTGCAAAGTCAATCATTTGATATTTTTTGCACCAGCCGAATAAATCTTTGTTACTCAAAAGAAAAATCTGAATAAATCTTTAAAATAAAATACTACATATATTCTAAAAAGATTAATAAAATTATTCTGACTCAGTTCGAGTTCATGTTTCTATAATATGCACTTGTTAATTATTATATGCACTTGAACTTGATCATGTATGCACTTAGTCATGTACTTGATCTACGGGTCGATATTCCGTATTGAGTTTTCGTATATCGACCGTGTTCGACATAAATCCGCTCAAATTAGTTCGTTTTCAAAATTCTTGATAATTCGTAAGTTCGCGTTCGTTTTCGTGTCCGGTTTTATCGTTTTCGCTTTTCGCTTTTTGTATTTCAGATGTAAAATAGAAAACAATTTATGAGTTTTTCGACCATTTCCAACCGTTTTCATCCTTACCTCTGGGTTGGACACGGAGAGAGAGAGGAACTCCACGTTCAAGTACACATGAACGCACATTTAGTCCACATCAGCCAAACCGAGCACGTAGAACCATTAGCAAAAGCTATATCGACAAACACCTAGCACATAAGCACCACGGCAAACACCTCTGGGTTGAACATGGCGAGAGAGAGGAACTCCGCCTTCAAGAACACAGGAACCAGCATTTAGTCCACATCAGCCAAGCCGAACACGGAGAACCATTAGCAAACGCTGTATCGACAAACCACCCGTTGAATCGCACCGCCGCACGCCACCTGTTCGTCGGAGAGCCTCCGGAGCGCCGGCCGCCGGGTCGAGCGCGCCAATGGAGTCGACGAGGCGGCAGTGGCCGTAGTCCCGCACCACCCCAGGCGACTGCAATGCTCCATAGGCTCCTCCATGACCCTGCGGCTGGCAGGAGAGAGGAGAGTGCCTTTTTGGTATGGAGCTGGGGCTAGCTAGTGGGGCGGGCTTGGTGCTGCACCTACGGAGGAGGCCCGGGGCCGGGGTTGGCATGGGTGGGAGTGGGAGTGGGAAAGAGGGAGGTGGATGGGGTGGAGAGAGGCGGCGGCGGCCATGGGAGCGGAGCCACCCAGAGCAAGATAGGGGTGGATACGTCACTTACACGCTGGCCCCACCTAAAAGGAAGGTGGTTCAGTACTTTTATCGTTTTTTTTTAGAATCCACTTCTATTTTTGTGTCCTGCAGCCATAAACGGACATGAAAATTTTGAACCGGTGAAACTCTCAGGCAGTGAAACATTCGGAAAACGAGGAATCGTTTGGCTAGGATGGATCATTGCTGGTTCGTGAACGAGCAAGCCTAGCCTGCCGAACAGGCTATGAACTCGGCCCTCCAACACTGCAACTTCATTGGCCACGTCTGCGATATCAAGAGACACGGTTCACACCCATTGCCCCTAATGTACGGTTATCAAAATCGTGTGCAATCAAATCACAAGACTTTAAACGTGCAAGTCATAGAAATGTTGACGTCAATGACTAATCATGCCTTTTTGCCAAGATTATTAAGCCGAATTGGAATTTTGACAACCACGCCATTATATTTACTCTGCATCTAAAAATAAAGAATAAAAAAATAGGCCATTCTTGATAGACGAGACAGAGACCCAGGCCTTGTTTAGATTGCAATTTTTTGTAATCTGGACACTGTAGCACGTTTCGTTTGTATTTGACAAACTTTGTCCGATCATAAACTAACTAGGCTCAAAAGATTCGTCTCGTGATTTACAATCAAACTGTGTAATTAGTTATTTTTTTTATCTACATTTAATGCTCCATGCATGCATTCAAAAATTGATGTCATGAAGAGAGAGTAAAAAAACTTGGAATTTTGAGGCAATCTAAACAAGGCTCCAAACAACCCTGGGTAATGCACGCCGAGAATTTGATACTGATGCTTAGAGTCATGCTAACTCTTTGAAACCTTCTAGGCAGTGTACCAGGGCATTCTATGTCACCTCATTCGATTCATTTGGTTAATGCATCGAAAAACTAAATGCTTTGCTTTAGTACAACACATTCTTGTATATTTATTAAGTAACTAACGGCAGGGTATCTCCATATAGCTAGAAAAGAAGCCATGTACTCAGGTTACCAACTAAAAAGAACATAACAATTGCCAACTCTGAACAGCGCGCAGCCTAAAGATACTAATTTGGCTATTGGATTCTATTACAGTGTATCCTTTAAAACAACTAAAATTGTAATGCGATAGGAGTAACCTTTTAGGCTAATCACACCCATTATATTCCATTGATTGGATCAAATTATTCATAAACATACTGCTGATTGGAACTTAAAGTTTTGGTTCCACACCCAACAGAAAGCATCCACAGACGAAAAAAGTTATGCTTTGCAAAACGAGAAGTAAAGCGTCTGACAAGCTTATTACAAACCTGGGAGATGCCTCACCCATAAAAGACAACATGACGTAGTAAATAAAATTACAACAGTGTTTCCGCTTAATTCGCAAACCGATTTATAAATTCGTAGACACTCTATTATGCAATCTGCACCCATACGGAATTCAGGACTTCCCTTGCTGATGGGCGGATGTCCTGTGCTTACTCGATTCCTAGCTCAATACATGTCCACCAACCGCTGAACTGAACCACCAAAAGTCCAAAGCAGACCAACAAAGGCAGCAGCAACCTGATGAAAATGATATCAACGAGACATTTAGTTAGGAATGGCAGAGTGTTCTGGCCGGTCCAACAGCAAGAAGGAGCATAAAACCCATACCCTGTATGTGAATTCCGGAAATAGCAGCTAGGATCCAAGCCTTCAGCCAGCGAATGCATTCCCTTCTCTATTTACAATTCTTCGCCAAAAGTTTTTCTCAGTTGATTTAAAATCAACCATTCTAATGTGGCTAATCTTCATTAGCTCTTCCTTGCATTCATTTGCTTCACCTTCCTGCCTAATGATCTTTATAAGCTCATCAGCAGCATCTTCCAAATATAATTCATCGAGCGTGGTAAGGTACTCAATGCCACGAGGGAGGCGCTTCAGTTCTGGGCACCCTGCAAACCATAGCTTAACCAGACATCCCAGTGCATCTTCTTCTATTTCTACCTGGCTGAGTTGCGGAGCATCCCATATACATAGTTCTCTCAGTCTAGGAAATGACTGTACGGAGAAGCATAATGTCTTTCCCTCGTAAGCCTTATTAAGATTAAGTGAGCATAAATTACGCAACACCATGAGGTTAGGAAATGAGTTCTCATCAAGTTTAGAGAACGCCAGAGATAAACAAGTGAGATAGTTAAGGTGCAACCAGGAGGAGAGAAGCTCAGGCATCCGTTTCTTTTCCAGCTGCCCTGCCAGTTCAAGTTTACTAAGAGTTTCTGGTAAACTAAGTTGTTCCAATGGCAACGCTTCGTTTTCGTTTGACATATTAATTGACAAATGCACGAGACTGCTCATGTTCTGGAGAGCACTGCGCAGGACTAACGAGTGCTCACTTGTCACGTCATCAACGGCAAATGTTCGTAAATCCGTCAAAGCTGCAACATCACGGAGAGTCTCTGAGCTAGCTTTAACCTTTTGAAGAGCATGCAGTCCTGTCAGGTTCTTTATTATGCCCCTAGGCACCTTTAATCCACGATGAAGCCAGAAAGATCCTTCATTGACACTTACAGTTGCATATAGGTACCTAAGCTTCTTCAGTTTTCCTACATCCTTTGGTAAAGATAGTAGACCAGTGTCGAATGCATCTAGTACTTCTAAGTTTTGCAATCTTCCAACAGCCTCTGGTAGAGTCTCAATTCCAGTACAACGGAGACCCAAGAAACGCAGATTAAACAAGCTGAAGACCTCATTAGGGAGCATCTTGATTTTAGTACCTTGAAGATCCAATGTTGACAACAATGTTGAGGATGCAAGGATAGGCCTCAACAAATCGATATCAACAGAACTTGTAAAAACATAGATTGCACGGAGCTGCATCACACCAGATTGATTCAGCGGTACAATATTGGTGCTATTAATTGACAGTCTGCGTGTTTCATGTACTGAAAATGTCCCATGGCCCTCATAAACTTTACCAAAGCATTCTTTAGCTGCTTTGTCAAGGGCAAGATGTCGGATAACATCATGCATTCGGCAAACCTTCACTCGTCCAAACTCATTCTTCATCACGACTTGTAGCAAGCTTCGGTTGACAAGATCATTCAAGTATCCCTCTGCCACTTGTTCTAGTGTTTTGTTCTCCTTTTCCATGATGAATCCAGAAGTAATCCAGTGCCTAATTGACCTTCGCCTCTTCAGTTCATAATCCTCTGGAAACATTGCACAATGTAAGAAGCAATTCTTTAGTTCATATGGAAGGTCCTCCAAGCTGACTTTTAGAATACTATCGACTCCTTGCATCACATTATTTCTAGACTGCAATTCTAGCTCCTTGTACACACTATCCCATTCAGAGTATGTTGGTTGTTTGACAGACAATAGACGTCCTATGCATGCAATGGCAATAGGCAAGCCTTCACACTTTTGTAAGAACTTCACAGCCAAATCCTGTAACTCTGACGGGCACCTTTTGTCATCACTATTCCGGAAAGCTGCTTTGCAGAATAACTCCCAAGAGTGCTTATCTCCTAGAGGCTCTAGCTCAATTCTGCAATTACTAGTTGCCAATGATGCAACTTCAAAGTTTCTTGACGTCAGAACAAACCGGCTGGTACAGTTAGTTGGAAAGACTTCCATGATATTGTTAATCCATACATCCTTTTCCCAAACATCATCTAGAACCAAGATATACCTTTTACCTTCAAGATGTTTCCGGATGATCTCAACTAAGGCTCTAATTTCCATGTTAGTAGCATCAGTTATGATGCCAAACTCTCTAGCAATTCTCTTTAGCAAGTCCTCACCATGGTAACTCTTTGACAATGTTACCCAGGCTGCAGCATCAAAATCCAGTTTCACAATCTTGTAGACATGGTCAACCAAAGTTGTTTTACCTACACCACCCATTCCCCACACTGTGGCTATTTTGTAGTTCTTTTCTTCTAGATCGCCTATTAGCCACTGCTTGAGCTTGGTTGCATTATCTTCAATACCCACTACATCATCTTCCCTTGCAAAACACAAATTTTGATTGGTGGATCTGGCATGATGGTCACTGCTCCCAGCCTGTCCCTGCATTCCTGGGATGTCATAACGGGCCCTCCTTTTTGCAGCTTCTTCAAGCTCAGCATTGATATCATGGAGCTTGTGAGCTAGACGGTGCCAAACCTTGAGATGCTTGATCCTCTTCTTCATCTTGGCTGCAAATCCTCCATGCTTGTCGGCCTCAAGCTTGAACATGAACTCATCGATAACATCCTCGATCTGAAATGATAGTTCCCTGATATTCTTGGTGAAGATGCCAGTGGTCTCATCAGTATCCTTGAACTTCTCTGCCTGACGCAGGTAGGCCTTCATGCTCTCAAATTCCTTCCCAGCTTTGCGGATCTCGTCAAAAAGACCCTTGAGGGCTGAAGCTTCCTTGCAAAGCAGGGATGCTCCATAGGTTGCTGCTTCTTTCGCCAAGGCTGCACCTAGCTTGCCGATCAGCACTCCCACGACGGCTTCCGCCATGGTGGTTACCTGCGCTTGCTTCAGTGCTTAGAGTCACCAGTGTAAGCTCGTGACCTATATAAACCTAAATCTCACAAATCAGTCCAATTATCAGAGGTTAATTATTTTCATGTCAACAATCTGAACCATGGTACCAACATTTGAACAAACTGTGAACTGACGAGAGCTGATACCTGAAAATGGGAAGCTAGAAAACAGGCATGTGCTGCAGATCTGGGCTTCTGGCCAAGTTGAAGCCACTGTCAACCAAGGCGGAGTAGTAGTTCTGGAGTTGGATCCCGTAAGGACAAGGCCTGGTCTGGTTGCTAAAAATTTTCACCCTAAACTATAACAACGAATCTCGTGGCACATGTATAGAGTATTAAATATAGACAAAAAAAACTCTAATTACATAGTTTGGTTGAAAATCACGAGACGAATGTTTTTAGACTAATTAGTCTATGATTAGCCATAAGTGCTACAGTACTAACATACGCTAATGATGAATTAATTAGGTTTAATAAATTCGTCTCGCAGTTTCCAGACGAGCTATGTAATTAGTTTTTTTATTAAGCGAAAACCCCTTTCAATATTCCCAAAACATTTGATATGACATCCAAAAATTTTCATTTCGCGAACTAAACATAGCATAAGGAACGATGCTACAAGGCCTAGAACAGAAATCACCACTCGACGAGTCAACGGCGAACAAGAAGTGGTTGTGGGCTTGTGCCTTCGTCTTTGTGGAACAAAGGATGAAGCTGATTGTGGACCTGGACAGCCACGCTACCAGCAGCATAGAAAGGAGTGAGTAATAAAAAGAGTATAGATTTATTTAATAATAGTGGGAGCAGTTGACCAGAAGAAGTCTATATTTTACTAGTCATTATTGTACAATGTAGTTGTTGATCATGTTGTTTATTCACAGATTTGACATGTAGGACAAGTGGGCCGGCTAGTACCTGACGGTCTAACCCGGGTGTCTGGAGTTACAGGTGGATGTGTGTGTTGGTGACTTGGTGTTGGGTTTTCGTGATTTTTTTAGTGTTTTTGTTTTGTGACGCGATGACGGAAACAGTAAAGACGTTCGAGATGTACGCCAAACACCTGTACAGATTAATAAAGAAATGTTCATCCAAAATGACTACTATTCGATTTAAGACAGAATTAGCAAACTTACTCGTGCATGCAACTCAGCTTGTTGTGTGGTTACCTTAATGACTTGTGGCTTCAAGATTTATTTGACGATCACGTTATGCATTTTAATTTATATAGAAATCGAACTCCCTAATAATCTAAACACGTTGGCCATGAGAGGATTACATATCATTTATCAATGATCGTGCCATGCATTCTAATTTGTTTTAGATCAGACTCTATATCATGCCTAAACACTAACTCATACATGCATGGGAGAGAGTGGATCATGAAAATATTCCATATTCTAATTCGTTTTGAAATCAAACTCCAAATCGTGCTTGGACACCCTACTCTAATATATACAGTACCTTAGATCCCTTGGGACAGTTGTGAGCGATAAAGGACGAAGAATCATTTCACTCTTTAATATTAAGGTACATGGATAGATAGATATAACACTACTACATAAAAGATTTTAAAGACTACTCATTTTATTTACAAAGGCAGTCACGAAATGTGACTGTCTCCTAAAATACATACTGATTTTCAGAGGCGGTGGACAAATAATTTTAGGAGACACCCAGTAAAGGACCACCTCCTTAAATCAATTAACAAAAGCGGGTGTTAGGGTTTTATGATGAAGTTAGGATTTTCTGGTGTTATATGGTCTGAAGTCAATACCGGGCTAAGATGGGCTAAGATGGGCACGGCCTCTTTAACAAAGGCGGACCGCCTCTCCATTTTCAGAGGAGGTCCGCCTATGTGAAAGACGCCGAACCCATCATAGCCCATCTTAGCCTCATACTGACTTCAGAGTATATATAACACAAGAAAACTGTAGGCCCGCCTCTAAAAATGGCCTCTATTTTCAGTTAAAGAGGTAGAGCTCATCTTTGCCCATCTCAGCCTGGTATTGACTTTAGACAGTATAACACCAGAAAACCTTAACTTCATCAGAAAAACCCCTAACCCCAGAAAACCCTCCACCCGACGCCTCCAATCTCATCTTCCCTCTCCATTGTCAGTGGCCACCCCACCAGCGAGTGGACTTATCGGCTGTAGTGCAGCTCCGCCTGTAGGTCCCCTACCACCATCGTCCTCCTCCTCTTTGCGTCCTCCCTGCCTGGCTGATGCACCGTCCTGTCCTCCTCATCAGTGTCTTCCTCGATGGCTGCGGTGCGGGCATGCGGAGGTCCGGTGGCGAGCGCACGCACTTGGGGAGATCCGTTAGTGAGAGCGCGGGCGACACAAGATCAAGTGGCACCCGCGCGGGCGGACCGGGATCTGGTAGCTAGCGTGTTGTGGCAGAATCGTCTAATCTAATGCCTTCTAGGAGTACTTGTCTTCCATTAGACACTAAATACTCAAGGAAGGACACCAAATTACGCAGTTTCGTCGGACACATCCCAGGGGAGAACCCGAAAATCCATATTTTTTCATCAGGATCACAAATGAGAAAATAAAGGTCACAACATTATTAACCATTTCTTACATCACTTTCCATGGAACATCAGAGTATAATATTTAATATTTATTGTTTATAATAGCGGAATATGATCATGTTATCAGAGTTATGAACAATTTAAGTTAACAGCAGAATATAAACATGTGATCAGAATTACAGTGGAAATAAATATCTATTCATGACATGATGAAGCATTGATATATAAACTATGACAACAGATTATAAAACTTTCATTTAGAAAAACATTTAGTGAGAGTTATAAATAAAAACTATGATCGCAGCGTAAAGGAATACTCTATGAGCCCACCAGGAAGAATCCACACACAAGGGTCTGCTCTAGCATCCACTTATCACCTGCAACAGGGGGAAATAAAACCCTGAGTACTCAATTATACTCAGCAAGACTTACCCAACAGGAAAAAAGAAAAGACTCTAAGGATATGCAAGGCTATCTGGCTTGTGGGTTTATTGCATCTGCAGAAAGCATTACTAAGTGTGCGTCCTTGTATTCAATTTTTATTAGCACTCAGCATTAGTTCATTAACCAACCATTCTATGTAAGCACATGTGCTACTTTCAAGCAGGTGGTAAGCAATCAGATTTCCTTTTACCATCTTTCGTCTCCTAGTTCTTACTACGGTGCTAGAGTTTAGACAAGTCGTACCGACACGACGGCGATTCATGAATCAATGAGCTCGGTACCCCGAAAACACACGCCCCACTTGTAACATAGGCACAAGCAAGACCAACCCACTACCCTCCTCTCACGGGGTCCAGGTCCCTGTCCAAACTGGGACTCCAAGCCCCCGCCCCCGAGTCCCGGACTCAGCGCGGTGCAAGGACCTCCACCCAAAAACCACCCTGGCAGTCAGTTTGGAAAGAGCTAGAACCCATGATAAGAGAGTAACAAGTCTTCCCTGTGCCCATACCCAAGTATGTGCTCGGGATAATAAGTCTGTGACTTGCCTAGAGTCCAATGCAACGGCCGGTCCTTAACCAACGCAGACAGGAAAAACAGTGTAACCAAGCTATGCCCCATTGGCCGCAGGACACAACCTCTTACACCCACGAATACCTAAACCATATCCCTACCCTTTTCACCATTTTTCTTTCACCATTTATATATTTCAAGTGATAATAATACAGTAATATATTTTCTATCTCTCGCGAGTGACAGGCAATCACTCGACTTCTACCGGAGTCCTATAGTATAGCAATCTACACGATCCTATCATACTAGTAAGACTCATAGGATAAAGATATATATGCAAGTGAGTTTCATTCAACTCCTTAAAACTTAATGCACAAATATAATTTAAACTGCAGAAAAGTAGGGGTTATGCACCGAGGCTTGCCTGGGTAAGATTTAAGCAGAAGTTAGCTTTCCATCATGGCGACACGATCTCCAAAAGCACCATTTCTTCAGCAACTCCTGATGACTCCGTGATCCATCGCCGTCCCTATTATGATATGCTTGAAGACCTTGGAGTTACATGTGGACCTCAACAACCTAAACCCCAAATTTCACAAAATTAACTCGAGTTACCTTTCAGTTCCACAATCTGAACCTTTATTTTTGAAAAAGAAAACAAACAAATTCAAACCTTGCACTGATGAAACTTGACAGTGTTACCTGAATACGAGAAGCTATAGAACAAGCACGCATTGAAGTTGAAGATCAGGCTTTGTTTTAGTCACGGTTTGCATTTGGGAGGAGTTGCATCGTCAGAGATGGAAAGGGGCAAATCATGCGGTTTCGTGGAAGGAGACGAGGAAAAAAAAGTCTGCGCTTGTAGAGGAGAAAGCTACATAGGCCCTGTTCGCTGGTCTAAACTTTGGCTGAAACTGACTGAAAAACACTGTTCCGGCTGAATTGTTGTGAGAGAAAAACACTGTTTCGGCTGAAAAAACAAGCCGAACAAGCCAAACTTTAAGACAAGCGAACGGGGCCATAATCATTAATCAGTCAATAATCAGATGCTGTCTGGTTAAAAGCACCAATCAGTAGTGGGCCATCACCTAACGCATCATCCACTAAGTGAGGGGTGTCTGTCACACAGTGTTAGACTGACTTGGTCATTAGCATTTGGGAAATTTTTCTCAGGGACACTGAAGAAAGGCTTTATTTGCTGCCGGACACCGCCAACTCGTGTATTTGCTGAGTACCATTATGAATCACTATTTTTTTTGCCAGAAGACACCGCAGCCATTATTTTAATCTTTTCTATCGTTTGGGAGAGAGAACAAGCAGTGGATGGACAAAGTTGCCCCTAGCTCGGTTGGGCTCTGCCAATATGGTTCGGTTGAACCAGGTTGTCTGACCCACCGGTTGTCTTCCTCCTCCAGACATCCCCAGCCGTTCCCCTTCCCCTTCTTTCCCACTCCCAAACCAAGTGGTGCTGGAACCCTAGATCCC